AAATATTGTTCTTTCATGATACTAGTATACATTGCTGTAAAGTCGATACGTTTTATAAATATATTCTTTCATGTTACTAGTAGAATAGTAGATACGTTTCACAAATATTGTTCTTTCATGATACTAGTATACATTGCTGTAAAGTCGATACGTTTTATAAATATTGTTTTTTCATGTTACTAGTAGAATAGTAGATACGTTTCACAAATATTGTTCTTTCATGATACTAGTATACATTGCTGTAAAGTCGATACGTTTTATAAATAATGTTTTTCATGTTACTAGTATAATAGTAGATACGTTTCACAAATATTGTTCTTTCATGATATTAGTATACATTGCTGTAAAGTCGATACGTTTTATAAATATTGTTTTTTCATGTTACTAGTATAATAGTAGATACGTTTCACAAATATTGTTCTTTCATGATATTAGTATACATTGCTGTAAAGTCGATACGTTTTATAAATATTGTTTTTTCATGTTACTAGTATAAATTGCTATAAAGTCAATAAAGAACATTTTAACTCCAGATTCTACTTCCACCTGTCAGAAGCTCATTATTCATATAATAATGTTTATTTTGTAAATTCCGTGCTAGAAAAGAACGATAGGCCTTTGTCACGCTAAAGAAAACTGCAAACCCAGTAAAAAAAACCCGAAATAAATCAGGAAAATAAAATGTATTTACTTCTGTTTCATCCATCACATTTTTAATGCCTTTCATTTATTTCACATATTTCGTGTGTATTCAAAAAATTATATATATATATATATATATATATATATTTAATGTGATAATGAACACAACTTGTTAGTGCTATCCAAACGTCATATGTATTTATTAAACACTTGAATTTGTAAGCTGATTTTTAGATGAAGGATTTTTTTCATCATTACTTTTTTTGTTTCTATAATATTTTATTTTATTCCGTAGTGGTGAAGTACATTTCACCATTTCAAGAATTGTTCTCTGCAGTACTTAGTTTTCATGAGGGGAAACCATTCTACAAGGGTTAGCCCACTTTCTAGCCGCTCTAAAAAGTCACGTACTTGGGGAGTGTTCGTTTATCTAGAAGTATCGTTGAGAGATCTTTAAAGTAAATATATCTAGTTGTGAAAGCAAAATAAGTAATACTGTAAATAGAAACCCAGGATAGTGAGTGACTTTTAACACAGTAATAGTTGTCTACAAAAAAAAAGAAAAAATCGAGGAGAGGGCAGCAGCTATAAGCTTCGCAAACAAAACTACTGAGTTGTTCATAAATGTTGCAAGAGAAACGGAAAGTTCGGAGAAAGATACTTGGAAAGAAATGATTGCCATTTTGCAGGCCTCATAAGTTAAAATAAAAAATAGGATCGCTAGCGGGTACAACACAACACCATTGAAGGTTAATGACAGGAAATTTGAAAATTCACTTATTAAGGTGTTGTCCTGGTTTTCAACTTAATAAAATATTTCTCATGAGCAAATATAAAAAAAAACTTTGTAATATATACTTTATAAATGACTGAAGGAACGGTTAAAAATTTTACCTTTGATGTAAGCTAAAGTTTCTGCATGAAAGTTTAATTGAGACATACTGATGCAAAGTACTCACGAAAGAGTTAAAGAAGTTTTTAATTTAATATGACAAAACGTAAGACAAAACTTCATAAATGTAGATAAGACACTGCTGCAAAATATATACCAGTTTTTCAGAATGTCGAAGATTATTCAACAATTATTTTTTTTTCCTTGGTGAAGTTCAAAATGCTTCGCACAGAAAACTTTGATATAAAACAAAAATAATTTATGTAACAACACTCACTCATTGCCGTAAGGCAAATGCAACACGCTAGAAGTTAATTAGGATATTCGAACACCCAAATATGGGGAAACTTGATTTAGTCCTGTTTCAACAACTATTTGCCTGTATATTGTAGAACTCGCATCTGCTTGTTCCCACTCGTGATGCATACAGTGAGTTGAGTTCAATCGAATTTTTCCTGGGAGCTGTGGCTAACCCGCATGCGCGTTCCTCCATTATGGAAAGGACAACAAAAACTAATTAATTTAAGTATGATGAAGTTTTGGCAGTCGAAAAACAATTTGGAAGAAAGTCACCTTTAGAAACAAGATGAAAAAAGTAGAACTTGTTTTTGCTATTCTTTTAAGCTGATTTTTTTAAGGAAGCTATTTACGATTAAAGGTGAAACTTAGCAATTTTGTAGCAACGTTATGTTGTGAGACTTTAGTAATTCAAACTGTGCAGCTTATAAAGTGAACCAGATAGGTATATAGGTATTAATTCAACAACAATTTATTGATGTGCATTCTTTGTTTTGTATTCAGACATGTTAAGAGCGTTGCACCTAAGCCTAAAAGACCAGAGAGAAAGAATGTAATTATTTTTCTTGTCAAAATATCATTTTGAGGTTTCAAAAATGATATATACGATTCAGCATGCAGTAATATTTTGAAATGAATAAAACCCTATAACCCGAGCGCTTTCAAAAGGTCCACCTCATATCTGTAGATGGT